ACACTACACTACAGCAGCTGTGAAGCGCGCGCCCCGTGACGCTGTCAACCCATCCGACACGCCAGTGCTTTGGGCTGCTCTGCTCGGCGCCAAAAGGTAAAAGTGGGGGAGGATACGCCCCTCACCATGCAGTTGGTGGCGACTTCTGTGTGCTTCCAGCCACAGTGATCAGAACATACTCCCGGGGTTTGTGAGACGGTTGACGCGTGCGTTTGGTTAAACTGTAACTGTAATGACCTACCACAGTTCCAGGTTTAAAGTTTGAAGGTTTTAAGTCCATTTAAAATTTGGTGGCCTGAGAAAAATATCAGATTGACGGAGACCAAATGCACACCAGATCCAACAAGCGGACGCCACGGTTTTGCCCGGCCACACTCGCGCTTGTGATAAATTTGTCTTTTTCTGTCCTTAATATGAACACTTTGACGACAGAAAAACACACGTCTTACGAGAAACGCAATTGCCGTTAATTGGTCGTCATTTTAAAGTAAAGTTTGTCGTTCTTTTGTCGTCAAATTGTAGTTTCAAAAACGACAAATCTATGTCAATTTTACTGTGTTTCGCTCTACACGGGATATACCTGTTTGACGCCGAGCGGACTTAGGCTATTTCTACAGTCGATTCTGATAAAGCTGCCTGTGGCCGTGTCATGCACAGCTGCTCGCTGCTCGCGTCCACGCTTACGGTCCCCTGTGACGCGGGGCTGTCACGGCTGGTCACGGCCTTTCAAAAACACCTCTTGCCGATGCTGATGCCTCGCAATCGTTTCGTTTACATGGGCACGGAAGTGCCATATTAGACGAAGCCATGCGACCAAGTGCGTACCACGAGTAGCGCCTGGTGGACCATCTGCTGTTTCAGCGTCGGTGCAGCTTGGGCTGCCTATCCTCCAGGCGCTTCGCCGCTCGCCTCCGACGGGGACGGGTCTGCCTGTTTTCGTTTCAAATCGCATGCTTGTGCACGTGTGCCCCACAGTGATTTACGATATAATAAGGGGTTAACGTGAATGTTGATGAAGCGTGGATGCGATTAGAATAGGCGGGTGCAGTTCTGATAGCCATTACTATGGCGGTGATTCCCCTACGGCTTTGCGTATCCTGACCATGGCGTCTGCTCAGCCTTAGAGTAGAGAGTAGGCAACTCGGCCGCATCAGTGGTATGCGGCGCAGTATGCCTATTGGACGGTAGAGACGTGTACTCTTTTGAGAGGGGGCGTGGAGAGCGAATTGGGGGTGGGGGGGGGGCCGTTCTGGGTTGCCATCAACTCGTTCTCGCCTTTCGCTCGTACAATGTCTTATCTCCCTCTCTTTTTCCGATAGTAAAAGTCACAGTTTATTACAACGAGTACACATCAACAACGTTGAACGGACTTTATAGTAGTTGGGTGCGTCTGTTATTGGCATCCCACAGGCTCGCTATATCATCGTAAACCTTTTGCTTTGAGTAGAGTATCAGGCTTCTTCGCTCGCCGCCCCGCGGTGGGGGTCAAACGGAGCCAAAGGTAACGTAAGTCGCTGACACCGACGGTCACGGGAGCGACGGATTTGTTGAATTCGGGCGGCGATGCGTCGCCGTCGCGTGTCAATGAGACTCGCCATCAGCGCGGGGATCCGCGGTCATGTGCCAGCCAAGTAAGCACCTACGGTTGGAAAGGTTGGAGGCCCTCGAAGGTTTCCGGAATATTTCCGAAAAATAGGAAAACTTTCCCAGACCTCAGAAAATGTTTGTACTTTACAGAAAATTTTGTTTTTCAAAAACAAAATCCTTAAATTTTCCGGAAATTCCTGAAAGTCAAGTTTCCAACCCTACAGGCACCATAATAGTCAGACGGGACCCGATGCAAGTTGCCGCGGTCCCGTTGTTGTTGCGTCCCCACCGCGGCGGGCGCTGCTCCGCGGGCCTCGCAACTTGGCGCAGCAACCTTCTATTATTATAAAACTCGGCGTTTAACTCCCTTTTCTTCGCTTTTCTTTCACGCCCGGGCCTCGGGCCACTTTGTTATTATTGTTGAAAGCACGGGGCACGGGGGGCCGGGCGCGGGGCGCGCGGGGCGCGCGGGGCGGCCGCACATGTCATGCTCCTCTACGTCCATTCTCGCGGGATCGATGTATCGAATAGGAACGGCGGAGTCACGACTCGCGGGCCATGCATGACATTTTCTTGTGCAACTCGCAGCAGCAGCTGTTGCGGGAGTGGGGGGCTCTCCCCAAGAGAGTGGGAAATTGCACCTGTATAGTACAAATGGTGATACCGAGCGTGGGTCATGGGATTTAGATTTATCACAGAGATAGATATCTTATTATTTGAATCAAAGAAAAGTTTTTCGCTCGGTGTCACTACGCACTACTACTACCTGAACGTCCCCTGAAAGTGAAGTGCACTACCCGCCCGCCTGCAGCTCTAGCTACCCTGTGGTCCAAAGAGTCGCTCGAAGAGAGGCAATTTGACCTATAAAACCCATAGGCAACTGTTGATGCCCCCCCCCCTGCTCTACTACGCCCCTGATACCGAGAAAGGGGGGGGGGGTCAAACGCAGAGATGGTTGTTGATGCCTTTTATACATTTGCATGACCCGCCGCCCCGCCCGCCGCCAGCTGCCTCGCGGTTAATGAATATTGGACCTCACGGCGGCGCCCAGTTGGCCACTTGGTCCACAAGATACCCCTACCCCCTCAATCTGGTCACGGCGTTAATACATTTGCGGCCGGGCCAACTGGGCCAGGCGAAGGACCAAGCAGCAGCGCCGCCTTCCTACCAGATTATCTTTGATTATTCTTCTAGAAAAACACCGTTGTCGTACATTAAGGCCTCTAGTAACACGTCCCCCGCCGATAGGGTCGTGCCAGGTGATTGAACACGCTTGGGATCGTGTCGTGATAGGTCTAGTGGGTGGGACTTTAGAAAGGAGCGAGGCCACCACAACAAGTTCGAATATAGAGTATAATGGTTTCTTTATTAAGTTTTGTAATTGAACTTCCTAGAATATGGGATGTACACATTTTTTATACAGATCCTGTCATGAAAACGACGAGACTTTTCCATAAACTATTCACAGACTTGAGTGTTCCAACACCGCCAGTACTCAGACGAAACTCTAATGTGTACGTATCTAAACTTGACCTAATATATCAACAGTGAATATTCAAAAGATTTTTGGTATATTAGCTGTCAATTTTCCCCGGACTTTGGCCCGTTTAATGGGTACGTACTTGCTACTTTCTTTACACTAAAAATAAATAAAACTATTGTTTACACTCTTAATTTTTTACAGCATTTACATGACTTAATGTACAATATACATAAAACTCTTTTAATAAATTTCAAACTCAACAAAATTTACACGTTTTTTTCTTTCTAAATTGCTATGTACAGGCAGTTTCAATCTGAGTACTGGTCGTGTTGGCGATTATGTACAAAACTATTAAACATCTATACCTTAGAAGCTAAGTCATTAAACCGTAAAGGATAAAACGAGAGGGTGGTTGTAAACTACCGGCTCGCGGCGCGGCGATGAACTGTCTCGCGCCCCGCGGCGCCACGCCCCGCCACGGCACGGCCTGGGACTGATGTGTGCGGGGCGCCACCTCGCGGCCGTGCTCCCGCAACGCGCCGCGCCGGCCGCCTCAATGCAGGGCCTGATCTGATAGCGCTCCAAAGGCACTCTCTACACATTGCAAAGTAATTCGGGTCGGCAGAGAGGTCGCGGGTGGCGCGGTGGCGCAATGCGTCGGGCTGGCGGGGGCTTTGGAGCAGGCCGCCGTGGAAAAGAAGGCAATCACAAGCGTAATTTATCTTTCTTTGCGATATCGCACAATTTTCCACTAGCGTCCCCGCCCGCGCACGGTTGGAGACAGACCCAGCCAGCCCCACCTGCGGGGCGGTTAGATGTTGCTGCGCCTCCAGGCCGCAGTGAGACGGAAAAGATATCGGCGTGCATCCTTCATACTCTCGGCTCGGTCTTCCCTCTGGAGCGTTTAGAGCCGCTTGTCCGCCTTACGACATGAGCTCATAACGGCCGAGAGGGAAGAAAGGAGGGGGGGATGACCTTCAGCTTTAACGCCTCCGGGCGACTAGGTGGTTGAACGGCCGCGCAGGACCAGCCGATAATTGGACTACCCAAACAAATCTGTCTTTTAAGCTAATTTTCCTCACGACTAGTCGCTTGCGTAACTTCGGCCGCTGGGGGACGCTCCTCTCTCAGACAGAGAAGCCCTCGGCGGCGTGCGCGACGCGGTTGTCGGGCGGCGGGTAGCGGCAGCAGTATGAGGTGAGGGTGCCGGTGGCGGCGAGCAGCAGCGTGAGCGCCGCGGTGCCGCACACGGCGCCCGCCGTCATGTCCAGGGCGGCCGCGGGCCCGTGCAGGCCCACGCCGTGCAGGCGCGCCGAGCGGGGCAGGTGCGGCGCCGGCGGCAGCAGCAGCAGCGTCACCAGCCCCGCCGCCGTCAGCACCGAGAAGAACGCCACCAGGATGTAGCCTGCAGCAGAGAAGAGAGCAAGTGTTCAGACACGCAACAAACCAATTTAAAGAAAACCTTTTCAACAAGTCAACTCTAAACGAAAGAGCATATATTAGCCGTTTACAATATAAACCGATATAAACTCAAATTTTGACCAGGGATTTCGTTGACACGTGTCGTCATCGTAACTATTTCGAGCCACAGAGAAAGCTGAGAGAGAGAGATGCGCTGGGGCGTATCTGCTCAGTGTGTAGTACACGGGCTGTACACGGTGGAGGAGAAAGGGGAGGGGGGCTGTGGCAGTGCAGTGTTCATTGCGAAAGGACAACAAGCACCTATCTCAGCGCGCATTCCAGTCGGACTGCGATAATACAACCAGCACTTTGCATCGCCGAGTTAGTTGGCCGGGGCTGTTCAGTTTTCTGTTCGAGGAATATTCAGCAGCCGTGACGGTATGCAATAGTTTTTTGTTTAACCGCGCTGATAGGCGTGGAAAGAAAAGTGCGAACAGGAGAGGCGAGAGAAAGATAGGGAGAGAGAAGTTGCGTTTACTTGAGTGCATGTCAAGAGGAGGGGGGGAGGGCATGGCCACCGATTTTTACTGCGATGGAGCAGCGCAGGCAGTGACGGTGGTGCCGACCTGGGCCGCGCGGAGGCCTTGTACTACCGCTGAGACCAGCAGGGGATAGGTCGACTGTGACAAGGTGATGAGAACGGAATCGCGAGTACGTTGCGAGTCACGCCGAGCCGAACGGTCGGGAGGAGGGAGGGGAGGGGGAGGGGATGATAGATTAAGTTATGGCGCCAAGCCGACGTATTAAGCGCCAGCCAGTCCGACGGTACCCAAGTACCCATTAAGAGCGGTAGCCGGCGACAGCGGTGGCAGCCTTCCAACGGCACTCACCCTCCCGCTCCCGCCCCCTCCCCCCTCCAGGGGCCCTCACACTGCCGCCGCCAGCAGTCGCACGCCTTCACATTGCAAATTAGTCCACATTTGGATATTTTATTGAGCGGCAATTGTCGGCGTGTGTAAAGGGCTCAGGAAGCCCGACCCTATAGGAAGATCGTCACGAGCAGATACATTTCCAAGAGGGAGGGGTGCGAAGGGAGACCTAAGCGCGCGGGTATGAACCCTTCGAATCAATGAATGAATAAAACGCCGTACAACGACCTGCTACCCTACACCGCCGCAGGGCGAGGGGGCTCCGCTGTCCCCCGCCACGCCTCCCGTCCCACTTCGCCCC